GAGTTTGCACATTTTTTCAATGACAAGGTTCAAGGCATCAAAAACGCCATTGTCTCCAATCCACAGATAACCATCCAACAGCCAGAAAGGCTCTCTGAGCTAACTTACTTTGCACCTGTAGATGATAAAACTGTCCAAGAGATAATCTCCAGTTTGAGCTCCTCCACATGCAGCCTGGATGTACTACCCACTAGATTTCTGAAGTCTGTTCTGAGCAGTCTGATACCTTCACTCACATAGATAGTAAACATGTCCCTTGATTCTGGAATATTCCCAAAGGCCCTGAAAACTGCAGTCATCAGGCCCCTGCTAAAAAAGAGCAGTCTGGATGCTACGGTACTTAACAACTATCGTCCCATCTCAAATCTGCCATTTATGGGGAAAGTCCTTGAGAAAGTTGTCTACCTACAGCTTACTAGATTTCTTATAATCAACAACTCATTTGATATGTTTCAGTCCGGCTTTAGACCCCACCACAGCACTGAGACTGCTCTCGTCAAGGTTACAAATGATATCCAGCTGAACACTGACGCAGGCAAAGTCTCAATCCTAATCCTGTTAGATCTAAGTGCTGCCTTTGACACCGTCGACCATGAGATCCTCTTACAGAGACTAGAGGACTGGGTTGGAGTCGCTGGCACCGCCCTAAGTTGGTTTAGGTCTTACCTTGAAGACAGGAAGTACTTTGTGGAGATTGGAAACTGTGTCTCAGATCATATGGCCCTGACCTGTGGAGTCCCACAGGGGTCGATCCTGGGACCTCTTCTGTTCAATCTCTACATGCTGCCGTTAGGTCAGTTAATACGCAGAAACAAAGTGTCCTATCATAACTATGCAGACGACACTCAGATCTATGTCTCACTGACTGCAGGAGAACATGGACCAGTGGACTCACTCCTTCACTGTATCCAACAGATCAGTGAGTGGATGCAAAACAACTTCCTTCAGCTAAACGCAGACAAAACTGAAATGATTGTCTTTGGTCCCCAGAAACAAAGAGAGAGCGTTATCTGTCATCTACAGTCTCTCTCCCTAAAACCTTCAAACAAGGTCAGAAATCTAGGGGTAATACTGGACTCAGACTTAAATTTTAATAGTCACATCAAATCAGTAACATCAGCAGCTTTTTACCATCTAAAAAACATTTCCAGGATCAAAAACATAGTGTCTAAAGCAGACCTGGAGATTCTTATCCATGCATTTGTCTCCAGTAGGTTAGACTACTGCAATGGCTGCTCACAGGTCTGTCCAAACAGGCTGTAAAACAGCTGCAGTACATTCAAAATGCAGCAGCTCCAGTCCTGACTAGAACCAGGAAGTACGACCACATTAGTCCTGACTAGAACCAGGAAGTACGACCACATTAGTCCTGACTAGAACCAGGAAGTACGACCACATTAGTCCAGTCCTCAGGTCTCTGCACTGGCTTCCTGTGGCTCAGAGAATAGACTTTAAAACAGCTCTGCTTGTTACAAGTCTCTCCATGGCCTCGCACCAAAATATATTAGTGACATGTTAGTACCATATGAACCAGCCCGGACTCTGAGGAGCACAGGGACTGGACTCCTGCTGGGACTCTGAGGAGCACAGGGTCTGGCCTCCTGCTGGGACTCTGAGGACCACAGGGACTGGACTCCTGCTGGGACTCTGAGGAGCACAGGGACTGGACTCCTGCTGGGACTCTGAGGAGCACAGGGACTGGACTCCTGCTGGGACTCTGAGGAGCACAGGGACTGGACTCCTGCTGGGACTCTGAGGAGCACAGGGACTGGACTCCTGTTAGTGCCCAGAGTCAGAACTAAACATGGGGAGGCTGCTTTTCAGATTCATGCTGCTAAAATCTGGAACAATCTTCCTGAAGATGTGAGACAGGCCTCCTCTCTGACAATGTTTAAAACCAGGTTAAAGACAGTTCTGTTTAGCTGTGCTACAACTGATGGATTTTATGTTTTTATCTTTCTTTTTAATGTTCTGTGATTATTTATGATTTTAATGCTTTCTTGTTCAGCACTTTGAGTTTCCTTGTGTATGAATTGTGCTATACAAATAAACTTGCCTTGCCTTGCCTCTCCACTTGCCCTGTGCTATTTGTGTTTGCTATTATTATTACCCTTACTATTATTATCATTATCATTATCATTATCCTTATTATTGTTATTATTATTATTCTAATTATTCAATATCAATATTATTATTGTTATCATCATTGTTTATTGCCAATATTAGTGCCATTGTCATCATTACCGTCACATTTCATACATTTTTCTATTGTAGTATTTTGTTGTTGCAGTTGTAGGATGTTGTAGTAGGATATGTAACCATGATATTGGGTTACAGTGTGTGATTGTTGAGTCCAGTTGCTATGATTGGAGGAAGCAGAGGAATGGACAGATGTGTGTGTAGAGAGCTGTGAGTAGTTTTCAGTTGATAAATGATCCAACAGGAGGTGATGTGTATGTTTTTTTTTTATTTCCAGTTGATTAGAATTACTTTCTTGGCGATTGTTAGCGACACCAATAGTTGTTTTTTAAGGTATTGATTGAGGTCTAGTGTGGAAGTGTCTCCGAGTCAACTGAGGGAGGGGGACATTGGGGCGTGGCAGCCGAGTATGGAGGAGAGTGACTCAGTGACTAGTTTCCAGAAAGGAGCTCCTCTAGGCTCCTCTCGCCTCCTCTAGGCTCCTCTGGGCTCCTCTCGCCTCCTCTCGCCTCCTCTGGGCTCCTCTCGCCTCCTCTGGGCTCCTCTGGGCTCCTCTCGCCTCCTCTAGGCTCCTCTAGGCTCCTCTCGCCTCCTCTGGGCTCCTCTAGGCTCCTCTGGGTTCCTCTGGGCTCCTCTCGCCTCCTCTGGGCTCCTCTGGGCTCCTCTAGGCTCCTCTCGCCTCCTCTGGGCTCCTCTAGGCTCCTCTCGCCTCCTCTGGGCTCCTCTAGGCTCCTCTCGCCTCCTCTAGGCTCCTCTCGCCTCCTCTAGGCTCCTCTAGGCTCCTCTCGCCTCCTCTCGCCTCCTCTGGGCTCCTCTCGCCTCCTCTGGGCTCCTCTGGGCTCCTCTGGGCTCCTCTGGGCTCCTCTCGCCTCCTCTGGGCTCCTCTAGGCTCCTCTGGGCTCCTCTGGGCTCCTCTCGCCTCCTCTGGGCTCCTCTGGGCTCCTCTCGCCTCCTCTGGGCTCCTCTCGCCTCCTCTGGGCTCCTCTAGGCTCCTCTCGCCTCCTCTGGGCTCCTCTAGGCTCCTCTGGGCTCCTCTGGGCTCCTCTAGGCTCCTCTCGCCTCCTCTGGGCTCCTCTAGGCTCCTCTCGCCTCCTCTGGGCTCCTCTAGGCTCCTCTGGGCTCCTCTCGCCTCCTCTAGGCTCCTCTGGGCTCCTCTGGGCTCCTCTGGGCTCCTCTGGGCTCCTCTAGGCTCCTCTCGCCTCCTCTAGGCTCCTCTCGCCTCCTCTGGGCTCCTCTAGGCTCCTCTCGCCTCCTCTCGGCTCCTCTGGGCTCCTCTGGGCTCCTCTGGGCTCCTCTGGGCTCCTCTGGGCTCCTCTGGGATCCTCTCGCCTCCTCTAGGCTCCTCTCGCCTCCTCTGGCTCCTCTCGCCTCCTCTGGGCTCCTCTCGGGCTCCTCTCGCCTCCTCTCGCCTCCTCTGGGCTCCTCTGGGCTCCTCTCGCCTCCTCTAGGCTCCTCTGGGCTCCTCTGGGCTCCTCTGGGCTCCTCTGGGCTCCTCTGGGCTCCTCTCGGCTCCTCTCGCCTCCTCTCGCCTCCTCTCGCCTCCTCTCGCCTCCTCTCGCCTCCTCTCGCCTCCTCTTGCCTCCTCTCGCCTCCTCTCGCCTCCTCTCGCCTCCTCTTGCCTCCTCTCGCCTCCTCTTGCCTCCTCTCGCCTCCTCTCGCCTCCTCTTGCCTCCTCTTGCCTCCTCTCGCCTCCTCTCGCCTCCTCTGGGCTCCTCTAGGCTCCTCTGGGCTCCTCTGGGCTCCTCTGGGCTCCTCTCTCCGCCTCCTTCACCTTCCCCCACCTGGAAATAAATGAAAAAAAGTGTCGTATAAAGCATATTCCTGTGCTGAAACCCATTTTGGAAAGTTTGTGGTCTGTGTAGTGGTATCTATGAAGAACTTTGAACTGTATGAGTTGTAGGTTTGAGTTATTGGTCATGAAGTAAATGTTGTTACAGGTTTGGGTCCAGAAATTGGCATCGGGAGCAAATGCTAAGTCTTGTTGCCATTGTGAGATTGGAAGCGAGTGGGTGTTGTCAATTCTTGTAAGTAATTTGTATATTTTGGAGTTTAGGTTTTTGGGTGCAAGCTCCAGAAGATCTGTGATGAATGGGCTTGGGTCCAGGTCTATTGTATGAATATTGATTTTAGTGCTCCTCATTCCTACTACTCTGTAACCGGAGACATTGGTTCATAAGGAGCAGAGCAACTGTCTGTAAATGTTAATAAATGTTAATAAAATGTTAATTAATGTTAATGTCCTGAAATGTCTCGGATCCTGTCTGTCCTCACTTCCTCCTGCATCAAAGAGGAACCAAAGAAACGCAACTGGAAAAAATGATTAAGTCAGACGTCTGAAGCTAAGCAGGGCAGCGCCTGGTTGGTGCTGTGATGGGAGACCTCTGGGAACAGCAGGTGGCACAGTGGGGCGGCTGTGGCTGTAAAGTGCCAAACTGCCGTTGTGTCCTTAGGCAAGACACTTCCCCCGCATTAGAATGAGTCTGGTGTGTGTGTGAATGGTTGGTGGTGGTGGGAGGGGCCGATGGCACAGACTGGTTGCCTCGCTTCTGTCAGTGTGCCCCAGGGCAGCTGTGGCTACAGTAGTTTATCACCACTGTTTGGAGAGAGAGAATAATGTTGTGAAGAGACTTTAAGGGTCCAGAAAGCACTATTTAAAACCAATGTATTATTTTATCTATTCTTTCTGAGTTTGGTCGTCAGTTATAACAACACACACACACACACCTGGATATTTGACGTTCACGACTGGACATTTCAGAGCAGCAGAAGACAGTCTCTAAAACCTCCGTCCTCCTTCGCTTATGCTCGAGATCCACTTCACACAGAACCAGAGTATGTTTTTGTTTCCCCCGTCCTCCCCTCGCCTCCTCTCGCCTCCTCTCGCCTCCTCTAGGCTCCTCTTGCCTCCTCTCGCCTCCTCTCGCCTCCTCTAGGCTCCTCTCGCCTCCTCTAGGCTCCTCTCGCCTCCTCTAGGCTCCTCTTGCCTCCTCTCGCCTCCTCTCGCCTCCTCTAGGCTCCTCTCGCCTCCTCTAGGCTCCTCTCGCCTCCTCTCGCCTCCTCTCGCCTCCTCTCGCCTCCTCTCGCCTCCTCTCGCCTCCTCTAGGCTCCTCTCGCCTCCTCTCGCCTCCTCTAGGCTCCTCTAGGCTCCTTAAGGCTCCTCTAGGCTCCTCTGGGCTCCTCTGGGCTCCTCTGGGCTCCTCTCGCCTCCTCTCGCCTCCTCTCGCCTTCTCTAGGCTCCTCTCGCCTCCTCTCGCCTCCTCTCGCCTCCTCTCGCCTCCTCTAGGCTCCTCTCGCCTCCTCTAGGCTCCTCTCGCCTCCTCTAGGCTCCTCTCGCCTCCTCTAGGCTCCTCTGGGCTCCTCTCGCCTCCTCTCGCCTCCTCTCGCCTCCTCTAGCCTCCTCTAGCCTCCACTAGGCTCCTCTAGGCTCCTCTAGGCTCCTCTGGGCTCCTCTGGGCTCCTCTGGGCTCCTCTAGGCTCCTCTGGGCTCCTCTCGCCTCCTCTCGCCTCCTCTCGCCTCCTCTCGGCTCCTCTGGGCTCCTCTAGGCTCCTCTCGCCTCCTCTCGCCTCCTCTCGCCTCCTCTGGGCCCCTCTCGCCTCCTCTGGGCCCCTCTCGCCTCCTCTGGGCCCCTCTGGGCTCCTCTCGCCTCCTCTGGGCTCCTCTGGGCTCCTCTCGCCTCCTCTCGCCTCCTCTCGCCTCCTCTCGCCTCCTCTGGGCTCCTCTGGGCTCCTCTCGCCTCCTCTAGGCTCCTCTGGGCTCCTCTGGGCTCCTCTAGGCTCCTCTAGGCTCCTCTCGCCTCCTCTCGCCTCCTCTAGGCTCCTCTGGGCTCCTCTGGGCTCCTCTCTCCGCCTCCTTCACCTTCCCCCACCTGGAAATAAATGGAAAAATATTCACCGCCTCGAGCCACTGCTGAACTTCTCACTCGCTGCATCCAATTTGAGCCGCGTGATGTCATCAAAGCGAAAAACACCACGAAACCAGAGGAAAGAGAGAAGCCGAAGACCCCAATGCAGACCCTAATGCAGACCCCAATGCAGACCCTAATGCAGACCCTAATGCAGACCCTAATGCAGACCCTAATGCAGACCCCAATGCAGACCCTAATGCAGACCCTAATGCAGACCCTAATGCAGACCCTAATGCAGACCCTAAGCAGACCCTAATGCAGACCCTAATGCAGACCCTAATGCAGACCCTAATAGCAGACCCTAATGAGCCTAAGCAGACCCTAATGCAGACCCTAATGCAGACCCTAATGCAGACCCTAATGCAGACCCTAATGCAGACCCCAATGCAGACCCTAATGCAGACCCTAATGCAGACCCTAATGCAGACCCTAATGCAGACCCTAATGCAGACCCTAATGCAGACCCCAATGCAGACCCTAATGCAGACCCTAATGCAGACCCTAATGCAGACCCTAATGCAGACCCTAATGCAGACCCTAATGCAGACCCCAATGCAGACCCTAATGCAGACCCTAATGCAGACCCTAATGCAGACCCTAATGCAGACCCTAATGCAGACCCTAATGCAGACCCTAATGCAGACCCTAATGCAGACCCTAATGCAGACCCTAATGCAGACCCTAATGCAGACCCTAATGCAGACCCTAAGCAGACCAAGCAGACCCTAATGCAGACCCTAATGCAGCAGACCCTAATGCAGACCCTAATGCAGACCCTAATGCAGACCCTAATGCAGACCCTAATGCAGACCCTAATGCAGACCCTAATGCAGACCCTAATGCAGACCCTAATGCAGACCCTAATGCAGACCCTAATGCAGACCCTAATGCAGACCCTAATGCAGACCCTAATGCAGACCCTAATGCAGACCCTAATGCAGACCCTAATGCAGACCCTAATGCAGACCCTAATGCAGACCCTAATGCAGACCCTAATGCAGACCCTAATGCAGACCCTAATGCAGACCCTGCAGACCCTAATGCAGACCCTAATGCAGACCCTAAATGCAGACCCTAATGCAGACCCTAATGCAGACCCTAATGCAGACCCTAATGCAGACCCTAATGCAGACCCTAATGCAGACCCTAATGCAGACCCTAATGCAGACCCTAATGCAGACCCTAATGCAGACCCTAATGCAGACCCTAATGCAGACCCTAATGCAGACCCTAATGCAGACCCTAATGCAGACCCTAATGCAGACCCTAATGCAGACCCTAATGCAGACCCTAATGCAGACCCTAATGCAGACCCTAATGCAGACCCTAATGCAGACCCTAATGCAGACCCTAATGCAGACCCTAATGCAGACCCTAATGCAGACCCTAATGCAGACCCTAATGCAGACCCTAATGCAGACCCTAATGCAGACCCTAATGCAGACCCTAATGCAGACCCTAATGCAGACCCTAATGCAGACCCTAATGCAGACCCTAATGCAGACCCTAATGCAGACCCTAATGCAGACCCTAATGCAGACCCTAATGCAGACCCTAATGCAGACCCTAATGCAGACCCTAATGCAGACCCTAATGCAGACCCTAATGCAGACCCTAATGCAGACCCTAATGCAGACCCTAATGCAGACCCTAATGCAGACCCTAATGCAGACCCTAATGCAGACCCTAATGCAGACCGCAGACCCTAATGCAGACCCTAATGCAGACCCTAATGCAGACCCTAATGCCTAGACCCTAATGCAGACCCTAATGCAGACCCTAATGCAGACCCTAATGCAGACCCTAATGCAGACCCTAATGCAGACCCTAATGCAGACCCTAATGCAGACCCTAATGCAGACCCTAATGCAGACCCAATGCAGACCCTAATGCAGACCCTAATGCAGACCCTAATGCAGACCCTAATGCAGACCCTAATGCAGACCCTAATGCAGACCCTAATGCAGACCCTAATGCAGACCCTAATGCAGACCCTAATGCAGACCCTAATGACCCTAATGCAGACCCTAATGCAGACCCTAATGCAGACCCTAATGCAGACCCTAATGCAGACCCTAATGCAGACCCTAATGCAGACCCTAATGCAGACCCTAATGCAGACCCTAATGCAGACCCTAATGCAGACCCTAATGCAGACCCTAATGCAGACCCTAATGCAGACCCTAATGCAGACCCTAATGCAGACCCTAATGCAGACCCTAATGCAGACCCTAATGCAGACCCTAATGCAGACCCTAATGCAGACCCTAATGCAGACCCTAATGCAGACCCTAATGCAGACCCTAATGCAGACCCTAATGCAGACCCTAATGCAGACCCTAATGCAGACCCTAATGCAGACCCTAATGCAGACCCAATGCAGACCCTAATGCAGACCCTAATGCAGACCCTAATGCAGACCCTAATGCAGACCCCTAATGCAGACCCTAATGCAGACCCTAATGCAGACCCTAATGCAGACCCTAAAGCAGACCCTAATGCAGACCCTAATGCAGACCCTAATGCAGACCCTAATGCAGACCCTAATGCAGACCCTAATGCAGACCCTAAAGCAGACCCTAAAGCAGACCCTAAAGCAGACCCTAATGCAGACCCTAAAGCAGACCCTAAAGCAGACCCTAAAGCAGACCCTAATGCAGACCCTAATGCAGACCCTAATGCAGACCCTAATGCAGACCCTAATGCAGACCCTAATGCAGACCCTAATGCAGACCCTAATGCAGACCCTAATGCAGACCCCTAATGCAGACCCTAATGCAGACCCTAATGCAGACCCTAATGCAGACCCTAATGCAGACCCTAATGCAGACCCTAATGCAGACCCTAATGCAGACCCTAATGCAGACCCTAATGCAGACCCTAATGCAGACCCTAATGCAGACCCTAATGCAGACCCTAATGCAGACCCTAATGCAGACCCTAATGCAGACCCTAATGCAGACCCTAATGCAGACCCTAATGCAGACCCTAATGCAGACCCTAATGCAGACCCTAATGCAGACCCTAATGCAGACCCTAATGCAGACCCTAATGCAGACCCTAATGCAGACCCTAATGCAGACCCTAATGCAGACCCTAATGCAGACCCTAATGCAGACCCTAATGCAGACCCAATGCAGACCCTAATGCAGACCCTAATGCATGCAGACCCTAAAGCAGACCCTAAAGCAGACCCTAAAGCAGACCCTAATGCAGACCCTAAAGCAGACCCTAAAGCAGACCCTAATGCAGACCCTAAAGCAGACCCTAATGCAGACCCTAATGCAGACCCTAATGCAGACCCTAATGCAGACCCTAATGCAGACCCTAATGCAGACCCTAATGCAGACCCTAATGCAGACCCTAATGCAGACCCTAATGCAGACCCTAATGCAGACCCTAATGCAGACCCTAATGCAGACCCTAATGCAGACCCTAATGCAGACCCTAATGCAGACCCTAATGCAGACCCTAAATGCAGACCCTAATGCAGACCCTAATGCAGACCCTAAAGCAGACCCTAAAGCAGACCCTAAAGCAGACCCTAAAGCAGACCCTAAAGCAGACCCTAAAGCAGACCCTAAAGCAGACCCTAATGCAGACCCTAATGCAGACCCTAATGCAGACCCTAATGCAGACCCTAATGCAGACCCTAATGCAGACCCTAATGCAGACCCTAATGCAGACCCTAATGCAGACCCTAATGCAGACCCTAATGCAGACCCAATGCAGACCCTAATGCAGACCCTAATGCAGACCCTAATGCAGACCCTAATGCAGACCCTAATGCAGACCCTAATGCAGACCCTAATGCAGACCCTAATGCAGACCCCAATGCAGACCCTAATGCAGACCCTAATGCAGACCCTAATGCAGACCCTAATGCAGACCCTAATGCAGACCCTAATGCAGACCCTAATGCAACCCAATGCAGACCCTAAAGCAGACCCTAATGCAGACCCTAATGCAGACCCTAAAGCAGACCCTAATGCAGACCCTAATGCAGACCCTAATGCAGACCCTAATGCAGACCCTAAAGCAGACCCTAAAGCAGACCCTAAAGCAGACCCTAAAGCAGACCCTAATGCAGACCCTAAAGCAGACCCTAAAGCAGACCCTAATGCCAGACCCTAATGCAGACCCTAATGCAGACCCTAATGCAGACCCTAATGCAGACCCTAATGCAGACCCTAAAGCAGACCCTAAAGCAGACCCTAATGCAGACCCTAAGCAGACCCTAAAGCAGACCCTAATGCAGACCCTAATGCAGACCCTAATGCAGACCCTAATGCAGACCCTAATGCAGACCCTAAAGCAGACCCTAATGCAGACCCTAAAGCAGACCCTAATGCAGACCCTAATGCAGACCCTAAAGCAGACCCTAATGCAGACCCTAAAGCAGACCCTAATGCAGACCCTAATGCAGACCCTAAAGCAGACCCTAATGCAGACCCTAAAGCAGACCCTAAAGCAGACCCTAAAGCAGACCCTAAAGCAGACCCTAAAGCAGACCCTAATGCAGACCCTAAAGCAGACCCTAATGCAGACCCTAGACCCTAAGCAGACCCTAATGCAGACCCTAATGCAGACCCTAATGCAGACCCTAATACAGACCCTAAAGCAGACCCTAAAGCAGACCCTAATGCAGACCCTAATGCAATCCCAATGCAGACCCTAATGCAGACCCTAATGCAGACCCTAAAGCAGACCCTAATGCAGACCCTAATGCAGACCCTAATGCAGACCCTAAAGCAGACCCTAATGCAGACCCTAATGCAGACCCTAATGCAGACCCTAATGCAGACCCCAATGCAGACCCCAATGCAGACCCCAAAGCACACCCTAATGCAGACCCTAATGCAGACCCTAATGCAGACCCTAATGCAGACCCCAATGCAGAACCTAATGCAGACCCTAATGCAGACCCTAATGCAGACCCCAATGCAGAACCTAATGCAGACCCTAATGCAGACCCTAATGCAGACCCTAATGCAGACCCTAATGCAGACCCTAATGCAGACCCTAATGCAGACTCTAATGCAGACCCTAATGCAGACCCTAATGCAGACCCCAATGCAGACCCTAATGCAGACCCTAATGCAGACCCTAATGCAGACCCTAATGCAGACCCTAATGCAGACCCTAATGCAGACCCCAATGCAGACCCTAATGCAGACCCTAATGCAGACCCTAATGCAGACCCTAATGCAGACCCCAATGCAGACCCCAATGCAGACCCTAATGCAGACCCTAATGCAGACCCCAATGCAGACCCTAATGCAGACCCTAATGCAGACCCTAATGCAGACCCTGATGCAGACCCCAATGCAGACCCTAATGCAGACCCTAATGCAGACCCTGATGCAGACCCTGATGCAGACCCTAATGCAGACCCTAATGCAGACCCTGATGCAGACCCTAATGCAGACCCTAATGCAGACCCTAATGCAGACCCCAATGCAGACCCTAATGCAGACCCTAATGCAGACCCCAATGCAGACCCTAATGCAGACCCTAATGCAGACCCTAATGCAGACCCTAATGCAGACCCCAATGCAGACCCTGATGCAGACCCTAATGCAGACCCTAATGCAGACCCTAATGCAGACCCCAATGCAGACCCTAATGCAGACCCTAATGCAGACCCTAATGCAGACCCTGATGCAGACCCTAATGCAGACCCTAATGCAGACCCTAATGCAGACCCCAATGCAGACCCTAATGCAGACCCTAATGCAGACCCTAATGCAGACCCTAATGCAGACCCTAATGCAGACCCCAATGCAGACCCCAATGCAGACCCTAATGCAGACCCTAATGCAGACCCTAATGCAGACCCCAATGCAGACCCCAATGCAGACCCCAATGCACACCCCAATGCACACCCTAATGCAGACCCTAATGCAGACCCTAATGCAGACCCTAATGCAGACCCTAATGCAGACCCTAATGCAGACCCTAATGCAGACCCCAATGCAGACCCTAATGCAGACCCCAATGCAGACCCCAATGCAGACCCTAATGCAGACCCTAATGCAGACCCCAATGCAGACCCTAATGCAGACCCCAATGCAGACCCTAATGCAGACCCTAATGCAGACCCCAATGCAGACCCCAATGCAGACCCTAATGCAGACCCTAATGCAGACCCCAATGCAGACCCTAATGCAGACCCTAATGCAGACCCTAATGCAGACCCTAATGCAGACCCCAATGCAGACCCTAATGCAGACCCTAATGCAGACCCCATTGCAGACCCTAATGCAGACCCTAATGCAGACTCTAATGCAGACCCCAATGCAGACCCTAATGCAGACCCTAATGCAGACCCTAATGCAGACCCCAATGCAGACCCTAATGCAGACCCTAATGCAGACCCCAATGCAGACCCTAATGCAGACCCTAATGCAGACCCTAATGCAGACCCTAATGCAGACCCCAATGCAGACCCTAATGCAGACCCTAATGCAGACCCTAATGCAGACCCTAATGCAGACCCCAATGCAGACCCCAATGCAGACCCTAATGCAGACCCTAATGCAGACCCTAATGCACACCCTAATGCAGACCCTAATGCAGACCCTAATGCAGACCCCAATGCAGACCCTAATGCAGACCCTAATGCAGACCCCAATGCAGACCCTAATGCAGACCCTAATGCAGACCCTAATGCAGACTCTAATGCAGACCCCAATGCAGACCCCAATGCAGACCCTAATGCAGACCCCAATGCAGACCCTAATGCAGACCCTAATGCAGACCCTAATGCAGACCCTAATGCAGACCCCAATGCAGACCCCAACGCAGACCCTAATGCAGACCCTAATGCAGACCCCAATGCAGACCCTAATGCAGACCCTAATGCAGACCCTAATGCAGACCCTAATGCAGACCCCAATGCAGACCCTAATGCAGACCCTAATGCAGACCCCATTGCAGACCCTAATGCAGACCCCAATGCAGACCCTAATGCAGACCCTAATGCAGACCCTAATGCAGACCCCAATGCAGACCCTAATGCAGACCCTAATGCAGACCCCAATGCAGACCCTAATGCAGACCCTAATGCAGACCCTAATGCAGACCCCAATGCAGACCCTAATGCAGACCCTAATGCAGACCCTAATGCAGACCCTAATGCAGACCCTAATGCAGACCCCAATGCAGACCCTAATGCAGACCCTAATGCAGACCCCAATGCAGACCCTAATGCAGACCCTAATGCAGACCCTAATGCAGACCCTAATGCAGACCCTAATGCAGACCCCAATGCAGACCCTAATGCAGACCCTAATGCAGACCCTAATGCAGACCCTAATGCAGACCCTAATGCAGACCCTAATGCAGACCCCAATGCAGACCCTAATGCAGACCCTAATGCAGACCCCAATGCAGACCCTAATGCAGACCCCAATGCAGACCCTAATGCAGACCCTAATGCAGACCCCAATGCAGACCCTAATGCAGACCCTAATGCAGACCCTAATGCAGACCCTAATGCAGACCCTAATGCAGACCCCAATGCAGACCCTGACTCCCCTCTCACCCACTCTCCTTATTTCCTCCTCTCCATCTTCCTCCTCTCTCGCCTCTCCCTCTCTCTCCCCTCACCCCTTCTGCTCTCCCCCCCCGCCCCCCCCCCCCCCCCCAGCCCCAGGGCACAGACCAGACCCCCCCACAACCTAAAGTCCACCTGCCCAAATGTATGTTTAAAACAACTATAAAAGGTTAAACATCTGGTCAGTGCCTTTGAAGTGTTGCTGAAGCAGAGAGAGAGAGAGAGAGAGCAGAGAGGGAGCAGAGAGAGACCAGAGAGGGAGCAGAGATAGACCAGAGAGAGAGACCAGAGAGAGAGACCAGAGAGAGACCAGAGAGAGACCAGAGAGGGAGCAGAGAGAGACCAGAGAGAGACCAGAGAGGGACCAGAGAGAGACCAGAGAGGGACCAGAGAGGGACCAGAGAGAGACCAGAGAGAGAGACCAGAGAGAGACCAGAGTGAGACCAGAGAGGGACCAGAGAGAGACCAGAGAGGGACCAGAGAGGGAGCAGAGAGAGACCAGAGAGAGACCAGAGAGGGACCAGAGAGAGACCAGAGAGGGACCAGAGAGGGACCAGAGAGAGACCAGAGAGAGACCAGAGAGGGACCAGAGAGGGACCAGAGAGAGACCAGAGAGAGAGACCAGAGAGGGACCAGAGAGAGACCAGAGAGGGACCAGAGAGAGACCAGAGAGAGACCAGAGAGAGACCAGAGAGGGACCAGAGAGGGACCAGAGAGGGACCAGAGAGGGACCAGAGAGGGACCAGAGAGGGACCAGAGAGAGACCAGAGAGAGAGACCAGAGAGAGAGACCAGAGAGGGACCAGAGAGGGACCAGAGAGGGACCAGAGAGGGACCAGAGAGAGACCAGAGAGAGAGACCAGAGAGGGACCAGAGAGAGACCAGACCGAGGCATCAGGATTAAGACCGGGTCTGGTGAGAGACTTTGGACTGGTCACAGAAGCTGACAGTGACGCACACTCGTAATTACCCGAACAAGAGTGGCGTTTGGAGGACCAGGGGAAAGGACCAGGGAGAGAGGACCAGGGAGAGAGGACCAGGGAGAGAGGACCAGAGAGAGAGGACCAGGGAGAGAGGACCAGGGAGAGAGGACCAGGGAGAGAGGACCAGGGAGAGAGGACCAGGGGGAGGGTGTCACACTGTCGTGATTATGATGAAGTGTTTACAAATATGACTCCACACGGGTCACTCTGATGGCGGCCGGTAACTCTCGACCTTTACGGACTGACCTGGAGGAGGGGGGAGACAGGGGAGAGAGGGGAGAGAGGGGAGAGAGGGGAAGGAGGGGAGGGAGGGGAGGGAGGGGGGAGAGAGGGGAGAGAGGGGAGAGAGGGGAGAGAGGGGGGAGAGGGGAGGGAGGGGAGCGGATTGGCTTTTCAAGTCCAAATTTTGCACACTTACTCAGTACAATAGAAGCTAATCTGACACACATGTTTAGTCCTGACTCTGGGACCAGCAGGAGTCCAGTCCCTGTGCTCCTCAGAGTCCCCAGCAGGAGGCCAGTCCCTGTGCTCCTCAGAGTCCCAGCAGGAGTCCAGTCCCTGTGCTCCTCAGAGTCCCAGCAGGAGGCCAGTCCCTGTGCTCCTCAGAGTCCCAGCAGGAGTCCAGTCCCTGTGCTCCTCAGAGTCCCAGCAGGAGTCCAGTCCCTGTGCTCCTCAGAGTCCCAGCAGGAGGCCAGTCCCTGTGCTCCTCAGAGTCCCAGCAGGAGTCCAGTCCCTGTGCTCCTCAGAGTCCCAGCAGGAGTCCAGTCCCTGTGCTCCTCAGAGTCCCAGCAGGAGTCCAGTCCCTGTGCTCCTCAGAGTCCCAGCAGGAGTCCAGTCCCTGTGCTCCTCAGAGTCCCAGCAGGACGCCAGTCCCTGTGCTCCTCAGAGTCCCAGCAGGAGTCCAGTCCCTGTGCTCCTATGGCTCTAACATGTCACAGATGTATTTTGGTGCGAGGCCGTGGAGGGACTTGTAACAGAGGCCTGAGACCAGGACTAATGTGACGGTACTTCCTGGGTCTAGTCCTGGGTCTAGTCCTGGGTCTAGTCCTGGGTCTAGTCCTGGGTCTAGTCCTGGGTCTAGTCCTGGGTCTAGTCCGGACTCGAGCTGCAGAGGTTTCAGTCCGACTCTGGAGACAAAAGCAGAAGAATCTTTTTGACTACATGTTTTTGTCTCTGAAGCTGCAGATGTGACTGATGTGATGCGGCTGTTCATTTCTATCCATCCAGTTCCTTTGTGTATTTCTGGCTCAGAGCAGGAGTCAGCTGCAGCCACAACACACTGACAACACACTGACAACACACCACAACACACTGACAACACACTGACAACACACCACAACACACTGACAACACACCACAACACACTGACAACACACTGACAAAACACACCACAACACACTGACAACACACTGACAACACACCACAACACACTGACAACACACCACAACACACTGACAACACACTGACAACACACCACAACACACTGACAACACACTGACAACACACCACAACACACTGACAACACACTGACAACACACCACAACACACTGACAACACACCACAACACACTGACAACACACTGACAACACACCACAACACACTGACAACACACTGACAACACACCACAACACACTGACAACACACTGACAACACACCACAACACACTGACAACACACTGACAACACACCACAACACACTGACAACACACTGACAACACACCATAACACACTGACAAATATCAAATACACATATACAGGACAACACACAACAACACACAATGGACACACATAGATAATTAACACGCACACACACACACACGCACGCACACACAGACACACACACACACACACACTCGCCCTATAACTTAATCCCAATTGTTTGTGTATCTTTTTGCAGTGTGCACAGAAAGCGTGGCCTGTGCAGCGTCAGGACCATTATGACCCGGTGAGACCGCGCCCGCCCGGCCATCCATCATCCCGGCTCTCTAATCAGCATGTTTGTCACTGTAACTAAACAGAGGGAGCCATTGGCCGTGACTCCCCCCTCCCCTCCCCCCCCCCTCACCCCCTCACCCCCCCTCACCCCCTCACCCCCTCCCCTCGGCCGGGCGTGACGGGAGCGGTGACAGACTCTGGAGGTCGCCGTCTAGTTTAAAGGGCACATAACCTGCATTATGAAACTTTTCACTGCTTCTCACCGGTGGCTCTCCCCGTCATGAACACACTCAAAAGTTGTTCCATCCATCCATCTTCTTCCGCTTCATCCGTTGCCCGGTGGCGTGAGCAGCAGTATGAACAGAGAGACTCACCTGTATTGTCCTTTCAGGTCGGAGGGGGACGGACGAACCACTTTACACTGTTCCAATGTGGGGATTTAAGCTTTGACTGTTGTGTGTCTGTTTATGGAAAAGTTCCTAAAAAGGTTGGAGAAATAAAATGTCTTGAATCTGGAAAGACTCGAGGCGAAGATTGCATTAGAATTATATTTACAGTACTGTGGAGATTGTTTGAAGAGAAGTTATATTTATTAGATTAGAACATGAATGATCTTAAAGCAGGTGTGTGTGTGTGTGTGTGTGTGTGTGTGTGGATACAGAGGGACTATGTTTCTCTGGGAACGGACGAGATGCTGCCCCTGCGACCCGGCAACGGATGAAGCGGAAGAAAATGGATGGATGATCATGAAGCTTTGGCATTCAGACCCCGGCAGGAAAACTACAGGAGTTCATTTAGTTTGGTTTATTAATGGAATGCCCTTGAGACGTGCCATCTCCTGTTTGAGGGGTCCATAAACACTAAAGACAGAAAACAGTTCACAACACAATACACACACACACATCAGGACGGTCACACACACACACACATCAGGACGGTCACACACACACACAGTCTCAGACACACACACCCACAGACACACACACACACCCACACACACACACACAGACCCACACACAGACACACACACACACACCCACACACACACAGACCCACACACACACACACAGACACACACACACACAGCCACACACACACACACACACAGTCACAAACACAGTCTCACACACACACACACACACACACATCAGGACGTCACATACTCACACAGTCACACACACACAGTCACACACACACAGACACACACATACACGTTTTTGTTACCTGGTGGGTCCCTTTGACAGGGCCGTTCAGAATGGGACCCATAGACATAATCTTTTTTACTGGGACTACTTTAAGTAATACAAAACAGTCAATAGAAAACAAACAACTCTTTTAAAGGAATTTTATTTTAGATTTTGTTTTCGAATTGCAGTGATTCTATTTTTGACATAGAATTTAATGCCACTCCATGTCCGATGTCTAAGGTCATCTGGTGAGGCATTAATGCAGGCCAGGCAGTGAGACTTCCCAGGGACCTTTCCAGTCTGTATGAAAGGTGTCATGGTCTTCTCCACAGCCTTCACCTCAGATGCAGACCATGGCTTTCTTACACGTTCTAGGGAGAGAAATAAAAATATATTAGCAATATACACTCCCAGGGTGAGGACCAAGCAGCCTGGCTGTAATCCCCCACCTGGTACACTTACCAGAAGGGGCACTGCCACTACCATGGGGTGCATCTGGATGAATGGTTGAAGGTTCTCCGCTTGAAGTTTCTTTTAGCCCGTCCGTTTGTGAGAGGATCTCTACTGCTCTCCCTGTCGCACAGAAAATAAAAATACAAGTGGCCTTTAGGGGAAAAAAATCATACATATTTTAATAATATCAAGAATTACCTTCAGGCTCAATTTGTATCTGGTCGAGGCTCTTTCCTTCGAATTCCGTCACTCTTCCCTGCTCCATGGCCATCAACACTTTGCTGATTTTGGCCAGCTCCAGTGTCCCCTCTGGTAGTCTGTAATATTGCCTGTGGATGCGAATGTCATGGCCGAGGAAGTTGGCAAGTATGTCCATCTCATTCTCTTTCATATTGAGAACTGTAGACATAGTAGCTATGTGCTTTCTAAGTTTGGTTGAGGATAGCATCTCTGGATGCACCGCACCACATTCTTTGGCTACCTGGCGTAGGGAGTCTGATCCCCTGATGTGGGTGTCTGCGCCCGGGCGGGGAAAAGAAGTATGGGTTATGGTCAGAGATGGAACAGGCCCTTCTGTTCTCCACCAGCACCTCCATCGAAGCAATCATTTCAGGAGTCAAAAGAACCGGCACTTTCCGACTTCTTTTCCCTTTAATTTCAATGCGTTGAAAATGCTGACACAGCTTTTTCTCAAGTTGGGACAGTCCCAGAGCAATGTCAGAATGGATCCCAGTCTTACTTCTTAAGGTAAAGGCTGTCAGTGGCATCTTTGAAACCTCACCTTCCCTTCTTCGATTGAAAATGATGACCTCACAAAGAGTCAAAACTGCCAGTTTAGACCAATGCTTAGACGTTGGCTCACTTATTAGGGTTTGCACATATTCAGGTCGACATACCTCAATATGTGCATGCATGGCTCTAACGTCCTCAGTCAGAGGGAGCAGGTCCGGAGTGTTCCACTTGGCTTGCCGGAGGGTCTGTAGGGCAGCAGAAGAAACACAGACGTCCCACCTCTTCTCAAAAAGCAGCCGGCTTCGTTGGAGGTTTTTAATAAATAGTTCATCAACACAATGCTCCATTTTTGAGTCACATTCAAGAATATCTGCTTTCTGAGGCTATGGCCGAGTTTGAGGGCCAAGGATGGAGTCTTGTATTGATTTGTTTCCTCATCATATCCAGCCACAGACCTGACTGCATCAATCACATGGTTAAAGTTGGAAGGAATAAAGAAATCCTTAATTGTTTTCAGTTTCCCTGCGGTTTTTGCTTCGTTAATTAACCTACCGACTTCTCTCATTTTCTGCCTAATGTAATCATGCTTAGTCTTATCATGCCCGTGTTTTAAGTACAGGTGCTCTCCGAGTCTCAGAATCCCCTTTTCTGCTTTGACACCCGTGACCTCATCCTGATGCATTGCCGAAATTAAAGACCACAGCTTTTTGCTGATGCCCTCCGGTACAGGCTGGGCTAGGGAGCAGAGGGACTGGACCCTACTTCTACCTGGTTTAGCCTGGGCATCTTTCTGTGAAAGCCGGCACCTGGCCACATGCCTCCACAGCCACTTTCGCTTAAGCAATGCCCCACAGTCTATACAGTGCAAAAACTCACTGGATTTAACTGGGGAATTTGGCTGTTTAGCTGGGACTAAAGTTCCAATGCCGGCCTTTAAAACCTCAAAATTGTGCTCACGGTTTCCACTATTCCTGATCAAATCAAACTGAAGTTTACGTGCTTTAGATTTCACAGGTAGAGCCAATGCTCTGGCTACGTCACTTTCATTTCCATGTTTTCTAGTCAAATGACGGGACATTTTGTGGCAGGACATTGAACAGTAGAGGCAGAAGTGTCTCTTGCTGTAAACTCGCCCCCCATTTTTCTTCTTTTGCAGCTGCATGATAACAATCTTATTTGCCTTTGGTTCGTCACTTTCCGAGTCTTGAAGAAAAGTTTTAGATTTTTCTTTTTCCATACTTTTTTACAGGTTTCTTCTTGACAGTTAAATCGTCAGAATCTGAGTCGACTTCATCAATTAGGGACTCTTGACTAAGCTGCACAAACAACAAATAATTTGTAATCATTCTATATAACAATTTGAAGTCATGACTTGTAGTCAGCACTTACCAGTGGTTTGTAAGCGTGCGCTTCAGTGTGCTGCTCTGTGATTGGCTGCAGCCTAATGAACCACACGCTTGCACCTTTTTCTAGCCTGACACCTGATTTCCTCTGTTGTGCTGCTCCATGATTGGCTCCAGCCTGCTGGACTGAAATTGCCCCAGTGTGCCCCTCCTTGATATCCCGCAACCCACCACCAGGGTTCCGACACATAACACACTTTTTTCAGGAAAGTAAACCTCCAGGGGTCCTTTCCATATTTTTACAGAGACTGCATAAGGACCGTTAGAAAAGCATTACCCATTGATTATTAAGCTTGGACCAGTGGGGTCCGGTGTTCGGGCCCCACCACGTAAAACCAGTCCCCATGACGTGAGTGGAATCTCAGGTTATGGAACCCACCAGGAGTTGAAAACAAGTGCACACCCACACACACACAGTCTCACACACACACACACAGACACACACACACAGACACACAGACACACACACACAGTCTCACACACACACACACACACACACACACACACACACACACACACACAGACGCACACACACAGACGCACACACACAGTCACACACACACACACACACACACACACACACACACACACACACACACACACACACACACACACACACACACACACACACACACACACACACACACACACACACACACACACACACACACACACACACACACACACACACACACACAGACAGAATTCTAAAAAGAAGAGTGGAATAGAGCTGAGGATCTTGTGAAGCTCATGGGTCCAGACCCTGGTGTGAGAAGTTGCTGCTCCACCAGTAGCTTGAAACAGCAGAGAAGTTTAGTTTAGTTTATTTGTCACAGACACACAACATGCAGTGACATTCTTATGTTCCTCGAGTAGAAGTCCAGAACACACACAGAATCAGAGACAGAGTTAGGCCCAGTTTAGTGTCACAGATACATCTGTGTTTATGAGACTGTGCTAGGCTGCTACTGTCTATGCATTCATGACAGTACCGACTTCCCTCACACCTCTCC